AGAGGGATGCTGTTCTGGTTGCTTTTGGAAGTAGTTACTCTCCATTTTGCACCAGTGACATTTACACAACTTACCTCTTATTGCAGGATATTCAGAAGAGAATTGCAGCACTGAATAAATCAAACTTTTTTACAGTTCTCAATTGCTGAAGCGACTTTTGTCTTTCACAGGAACCTTTGTAATCATGGACCGTACTTCCTCGCGGCAAACTCCAGCTTATGCGGCTTAGCAGCAAATAACTTCTTCAGGAACATCCTCCATGTCAGAAGAGCTTTCCTCGTGTCTGCTTTGCCAATGGCTGTTATTCCGTTTATTTCAACAGCAGCAGTTTATGAAGTTTTTGTGCGTGAGCCTTTATTTTCAGGTAAAAACCCTCATTATTCCTTGTTTTCAAAAGGGCTTTGTTTCCTGTCCGCAATGTAACACTAGAGGAGCTTTTCCTCCCTGCACAATAGTGGTGTTGAACGGTTGTGGTCTTGAAACACCTCCGTTTGTAAAGCAGGGTTTGAAAACCAGATTATCTAATGCGTTGAGCAGCTGTGAGTTCTTGAAGTTGAGTGGGAAAGGAGATACGGATGCGTATTTCTGTGTGTTTATTAAAAGAATTCCGTTACGCATCACTGATTTTTAGCATTCTTCACTCAAAGTCATGTCAAAGTGACTGCAACGAAGCAGTTCAGTTTCCCCCATCTGTGGGATTTCATTTGAAGGTCAACTTCAGAGTGATAAATTCTTCATGGGTTGGAGTGCGAGTAGTTTGGTTTGGTTTGTGGGGTTTTGTGGGTTTTTTTGTTTGCAAAATGAAGAGTCCGTCTTCCAAAATTTCTTGCCTCCCTGTAGAACTTGGCCATTTCTGCTGTGCACCTGCGGCCGTGTTGTTGTGCGCTGCTTGTGTTGGAGCTGTGTGAATATTGGCAGAGAAATGTCGTTTGTGTGAATATTGGCAGAGAAATGTCGCTTGTCGTGCAGGTGATCTAAGCTGTGAGCTCTGCGCTGTGGTCAGAGGAGGAATAACGGGGGCTGTGGTGGGTGCTCTCTATCCCATTTTCCTGGCTCTCCCTCTGAACGCAAGCCTCACAGCCAGGTACGTCTTCGTAACCTGCAATGAGTGAAATGTATTTGTTGGTCAAATCTTCAGTTCTCAGTTTAAATTCTGTGGATTTTTACACACCTGTCGTCTCGTAGGCTTCTAGTAAAGGGAAGGGGATTTACATTAAGGTCGTCTAATTACAAGGCAGAGTTCAGAAGTGCTACACTGAGCCTTCACAGCGTAACAGGATCTGTGAAGTGAGACACTGTAAAGCACCTGTGTTTAGCTGCAACCTTACAAGCCACCTGCGATGTGCCTGGGTGTGTGGAATTGTGGCTGCCATCCCACCAAGCAGCAAATGTGGCTGCCATCCCA